GCTCTCTGCTCAGCAGGAAGCCTGCTTCTCCCTCTCCCTCTGCCCCTCCCCACATTTATGCTCTGTCTCTCAAATAAAATCATTAAAAAAAATTGTTTTTAAAAGGATCACAACCAAGAAAAATAACATTATTATTATTTTGCAATAGTGATTTTATCCATGAAAAACATCGTGATCGGTTGACCATGTAGGGGTATTTGCATACATGGGGGAGAGTGCGAGATGCAAACATATGAGAGCTTGAGTGCACATGATGTGTTCTCTGCTTGGTTAAGAGGAGGTGACTATTTCCATATGGATGGTTTCTTATACTATTCTGTTGTTGCTAATTCACCAATCAACTGATGTCTTTCCTTCATTTGTGGAGGATAATTTCTGTACTATTTTTTTCTTTTCCTTTCTTCCTATTTCCCAAGTCCCTTTTCCACCCTTGCTCTTGTTCTGTTCTTTCCTCGAATGGAAGAGTAAAATCTATAAAAGTGGAAAAGGTGCTTGAGTAGAGGTTGGCAGCCCAACAGTACTGAAAATAGGAACTAGAGTTTCAGAGCATATGTGATCTTCCTACCACTGGTGGATCTACTTTAAGGGACCAAAGCCTATTGGAGGCCAAGATAGCACTTGGCCAAAGATTATTCACTCCTGGCAAACTCTATGAGGCATTATGGACATCTAGTGGCTGCTCGGGATAATGGCTCAGGGATGCACATCAGTGTAGGGAGTAGTCTAGCTCTGGGCTTTATCAGGAGCCCAATTATCCTGACTGAGTGAGGCGGTCCTGTGTCCCCTTACAGTCAGTTCCCTGGGTGACTATTTCTTTCATTTCTTATTAGGATTTCAAAGTCACTCAGAATGGCAGACTGGTTCTACTAAAGACCCATCTTGATCCCTGTCCAACAAAGTATAATGACAACACCGTATAAGACCACAGAAGACCATGGTCTTCAAGTTCCAGGCTTAAACATTATTACGCTGTCCTCCCGACCAAGGGGCAGAGCTCAGGAATGACAGACTCTTATCAGTCAATCCTGTGGCTTTAGGTCAGTCACTATGCTTCTCTGAACTTCACTAATGACTCTGATGAGAGGCTGAGTCAATATGCTCTCCAAGATACCTTTCACTTTAACATTCTGTGATCTATCAGCCTTTTTAGTAGTTGGGAAAACAAAGTGTGATCTACTCTACTCTGGCACTGTGAATCTCTAGATTCAACTAAAGGAAGCATTCTCTTCAACTTTGTGGCTCATTTCCAAGTCTTGGCTACCATCCCAATGGATTAACCTTCTTCAAAGGGCTATGTATCTGAGAAGAGGTGGGAATCAGGGACTATGAAAGTCAGAGGGAATATTCTAGTCTACTTCCTTCAAATAAAGAAACCAGTGTTTGGAGCTGTTTTAAGATCTATAACATTGTCTAGCCAGTGTCAAAAAGGAGACGAGAACGCAGGTATCCCAACTTTAGGGCAGGTACCAAGTTGCTGACAAAAGCCTTGCCTAATCACTGGCTGGCTTCTTCAGTTCTCTCTGGCTTTATCATAGCAGTCTCTTTATGCAAAACCACAGTGACAACATTCTTGAACCAGTGTTTCCTCTTACTCTTCCTCTCAAAGTTTAAGCTTTCCTCTTTGTTTCTTGGTTGTACCACTCCAAATCAAGGAAGCTGTCAGAACCAGGGGCTGAAGAGCAATGGATGATGGCTAGACATTCAGGCTCTGGGATTAGAGATCTTAGGGCCACTTTCAGTTCAAAAGGACTGTGGGGCACCATGGCTCTACAGCCTCATCAGTCAAGCCTATATCTTCTGTGGTGCTCCCTTGGCTTAGCCGGCCTCCAGAGGGCAAAGCAGTCCCATCTAAAACTCCATGGGCTTCACCAAACTTGGGCTTATTCATGGTCATCAATCATTCACAAATATTTACTGGGAGACAACCTCATTATTACGTACTGGCTGGATCCAAGGCAGCCCACCCTTCCATCCACCTATACCATAAGGGGGCATAACCTTTCATTTTCAGTGCCTGAAGTGAACAGATGGGGTCTGAGTTTGCCTACATTGGCAGGAAACCGTCTGGGCAGAGTCCCTCTGTTGCCTGAAGAGGTAAGGGCAGCCATACCCCAGTGTACCATCACACCCTGGCCGGGGTGTCCTCTGGCATTCTACCAGCCTGATGCCATTTGTGGCAAGGAGAAGAACCACTCACCAGTAAGCTTCTGATTTTCCTCCACAGTTCCCTGTCAGGATAGGATTACATTCCCCGGATCTATAAGATGGTAGGGTTCTGCTTGAAGCTGATGACGTGCAGATGGGGCTTCAGCCAGGAAAGCAAAAGGAGCCACTGCAGAATCCAGATAAAGCCTAGTATCAGGGTTTAACTAATCTCCCCTTTCTCTCTCATTCTTTCTCTTGATAGAATCATCGTGAATAAAACAAGTTAAAGGATGTATTTTCTCAGTTCCTCCACTCCTACCCTTTGTTCTGTTTATTTCTCACACACCTGTCACTGAACTTTTTTATACAGCCTTTCCCTCCCTTTGCTTCTGTCATTTACTCTCTGCAACGTAGACACAATGGACATTTTTGTTAGTGATGAAAACACTGGGCTCAGGGTGAGAAGACTGGATTGAAATGCTGGCTCTGCTGCTTTGAGGATGTATGACCTTAAGTGTGTTATTTGCCTGCATGAGCTCAGTATCTCCATCTGTTAAATGGAGGAAACTATGGCAATTGCTTCACTGAATAAGCAAAGATTAGACAAAAATACAGATAAATTCTCTCTCTCTAAAGATCCTTGTAAATGACTTTTTGAGTTGGAGGAATGAAACCTGAATTCTCATCAACTGGGAACAAACTGGAGAATTACTTCCATGCCCAAGTTTCTATACATCTGCAATCTGCCAGGGTTCACATCTTGGCTCTGCCATTTACTATGTAACTTTAGGCAGCATATTAACGATTAAAGTTGTTGTTATTTGACTGCAAAGGCAGGATCAAAATGTCTCAGTAATCAATGGGGAATCCAGCTTGCCTACCGTGGAACTGTTTCCAGGAATTCAAGAATTCCCTGGCATATTTAAGGGCATATTCCCTGCCCAGGTTACTGGGCAGCAGACAATCCTGAGACACAGGGGTGGTAGAATGCAGAGAGCTGAGAAATCCAGGACCGCCTCATTCCTCAGCATTAGCCCATACACAGGCAGAGGGGGGTGGTTTATCTAACAGGCAAGCTTGCCAAGGTGGAGGGGTGGGGCACAAGGGAGGAGTCTGGTGGCAGTCCCTGAAAAGAAGCAATACTAGACCAGTGCCATATTCTAGGGCTTTCCAGGGCTTAGCCACAGATGGCTCCACCCCCACTAGGCAGAGAAAAGGGCACTCTTTTTCTGGGGTGGGAAAAAGGCTGACCTAGTCTGGGTTCTCTACACGGGTCTGTGAAATGCCCCAGGGTGCCGCTTCACCAGCAGTGAAAGCAGGTTGCTATGCAGTACTTCTCGGGAGATCCAGCAACAAAGGGGAGCTAGCGAAGCCCTCTGGCAGAAGGCTTGAGACCCATCCTACTCCAATTCTCCTGGCTTAGCGAGGGGAAAGGGCGACACAGGACTGCCAAAGAGTGAGAAGTGGTTGAGGCTGAGGCTCCCTGAATGAATGGGTTTCTCCAGTGGTTTCTGGGAATTCACCTCAAACCCTCCTGCAGGCCGCTGTGTTGTCCCAGGCTGTCACTGCCCGGGCTCCTCACACCTGGGCTTTTCTTCCACTGTTTGCCTTCTCTGTAACCCTCATTAAAACAAGAACGACAACAAACTGCCATTTAAAAGTTAAAACCGAGAAGGGGTGAGGAAATTTGCAAGGGAGGAGGCAGGACGAGGCATCGATGCTGCTGCTGCTGCGGAGCCCAGGCTCTCCGTCCTCTGGCTCCCAGCAGCCCCGCCGCCCCCGCGTCCCCACCGCGCAGCTCCGAGCTCCGCGTATGCTGCCCGGGCCGCGCGGCCAGGCGCCCCGTCAGCAGTCGGCGGGGGTAGGATGACGCGCTCCGGACGGGAGGCCAGCCAACTGCAGCAGCCCCGTCGCGCCACCGGCTTCCCAGTCCGGAGCCCACCGCGTCCGGAGCCAGAGGGGGCCGGGCGCCCGAGGGCGGGGCGGGGCACCAGCCAGGTCTCTCCCGCAGCAGCCCCGCTGCTCCAGCCTATCAGCAGCCACCCGGCGGCTCCCTCGGCTGGACCGAAATAGCTGCGAACGCCTGCGACTTGCGCGCGGCCCCTCACTTGACGCTCACTCCGGCTCGCTGGCCCCGCTCGCCCGCCCGCTCCGCTCCCCTCGTCTAGAGGGGGCGGGGAGGAAGTGCCGGGGTGGGGGGTGGGGGGTGGGGAGTGAGAGGAAGGAGGAAGGAAGGAAGGAAGGGAGGGAGGGAGGGAGGGAGGGAGGGACGGAGTCGGACGGAGGCGCGAGCTCGGGGCTGCGCGGCGCCTTCCAGCGCCGGCGTTAACCCCTCGAGGGCAGGCAGCGGAGGGGGAGCGGTGTTAATACATAAGAGCACTGCATCACGCTAATCTTCTCCCCAGAACACTATGCGTCAGCAGTACATTCACGTTCTGACTGAAGGACAAAAGGATGAGAGAGCAGTCTGCGTGGCTGCTGCCTGCAACACCGCGAGCCCGGCGCGAGGAGGAGACGGTGGGCGCCGAGCGCAGGGGCTCCGCTGCTGCTGCTGCCGCTGCTGCCGCCGCCGCCGCCGCTAGCAAGCGCGGACCATGTTCTCGAGCTCCGGAGCGTTCCCCGCAGCCGCGACCCCCGCTGCTCACACCGCCGCCACCGCCGCCGCCGCCGCCGCCGCCGCCAGTGCTCGGGCCGCTGCAGCAGTCCGCAGGCGGCGCAGCCTCTGAAGGCGCCGCGAGCCGAAGCCCGCAACTCGCTCCCTCAGCACAAAGCCGGAGCCGGCGGCGCGCCGGGGGCCCGGCTGCCGCGGGCGGCGGCGGGCGGTTGCGCGCCACCAGGGGCTGTGGCCGCTGTGGCCGCTGCCGCCGCCGCCGCCGGACCCGCGCCCGCCCCCGGACTCCTTGACGGGGCCTTGCGGTGCGGGCGCGACCCGGCCGCCGTGCGCTTCCCTGGGCAGCGGACCTGGTCCCCGCGCTGCCTCCACGCCGCTGACCCTCAAGGGGCTTGGACGGACTGCTGCTCCTCGCGCCAGCAGACGGCGAATTGGGAAACTAAGCCCAGTTTTGATCTTTTTAACCCTTAAGAGAAGAGGCGAGGCGAGAAGGGGGTGTGTGTCTGGGGAGGGCGAAGGAGCCGCGAACACCGCCTCTTAACTCTCACAGCCCCTCACAGCCCCGAGCGCGAACGACTGCATCAGCTGCCTCCGGCCGGGAGCCGCCGTCACACGGCGAGGGGGCAGCGCAGCGCAGCGGCAGCTGCTGGCGGGCGAGCGAGCGAGCACGGCCTGGGAGGCTTCAGGTGCCCCCTCAACCGCGCCGGGTGGCTGCCGCGGGAGCGGGCCGGGGGCACCGGAGGCAGGCTCCGGCGATGAAGCGGCTTCCCCCGTGGCTGGTGCGGGCCGGTGCCAGGGTCCAAGGACAAAGCAGCGAAGCGCTGGTGGCGCCGCTCCTCGGGCTGAGGGGGGGGCATGCACCTGCATAGCCCGCCGGGCCTTGGCTCTCCCCCGCGCGCCTCAACGCCTCAACTCCGCCGCTTCGTCGTAGCCTGCTCCGGATTTACTAGAAGCCATTTTGTCTCCCCCACCCCTCCCCTCCCCTCCCCTCCCTTCCCCTCCCCTCTGCCCTCCCCGCCCCCTCGACTTCCCCCTTTTGTTAATTAAAACTAAGAAGTAAGAATGGCAACGACGTGGCCGGCTCCGGTGGAGAACGCTTAAGGACACCACTCCAATCCCTTCCTTCCGAGGTAGGTGACAGCGACTGGATGGGGATGGTTGCCACGGGGGAGAGAAAGTCTCAGCTCTCTGAGGGGTTGCCTTGAGGGGGGCTGGAGACACTGGCCACGCTTTCCTTGGGCATGTTTTTTTTCCGCCGGTCTGCTCGTCTCTCTAATCGCCCCCTCCCCACCTCCTTCTCCAGATGGAAAGAGGAGCTCCTAGCTCATTTAAGCCGGGGTAGGGCTGGTTCTCCTTTCCGAGCCAAAATCCCAGGCGATGGTGAATTATGAACGTGCCACACCATGAAGCTCTTGTGGCAGGTAACTGTGCACCACACCTGGAATGCCGTCCTGCTCCCCGTCGTCTACCTCACGGCGCAAGTGTGGATTCTGTGTGCAGCCATCGCCGCTGCCGCCTCTGCCGGGCCCCAGAACTGCCCATCCGTTTGCTCGTGCAGTAACCAGTTCAGCAAGGTGGTGTGCACCCGCCGGGGCCTCTCCGAGGTCCCTCAGGGTATCCCCTCCAACACCCGGTACCTCAACCTCATGGAAAACAATATCCAGATGATCCAGGCCGACACCTTCCGCCACCTCCACCACCTGGAGGTCCTGCAACTGGGCAGGAACTCCATTCGGCAGATCGAGGTGGGGGCCTTCAATGGCCTGGCCAGCCTCAACACCCTGGAGCTGTTCGACAACTGGTTGACAGTCATTCCCAGCGGGGCCTTTGAGTACCTGTCCAAGCTGCGGGAGCTCTGGCTTCGCAACAACCCCATAGAAAGCATCCCCTCTTATGCCTTCAACCGGGTGCCCTCCCTCATGCGCCTGGACTTGGGGGAGCTCAAGAAGCTGGAGTATATCTCTGAGGGCGCTTTTGAGGGACTGTTCAACCTCAAATACCTGAACTTGGGCATGTGCAACATTAAAGATATGCCCAATCTCACCCCCCTGGTGGGGCTGGAGGAGCTGGAGATGTCAGGGAACCACTTCCCTGAGATCAGGCCTGGCTCCTTCCATGGCCTAAGCTCCCTCAAAAAGCTATGGGTCATGAACTCACAGGTTAGTCTGATTGAGCGGAATGCTTTTGATGGGCTGGCCTCACTTGTGGAACTCAACTTGGCCCACAATAATCTCTCTTCTTTGCCCCATGATCTCTTCACCCCACTGAGGTACCTGGTGGAGTTGCACCTACACCACAATCCCTGGAACTGTGATTGTGACATTCTGTGGCTAGCCTGGTGGCTTCGGGAGTACATCCCCACCAATTCTACCTGCTGTGGCCGCTGTCATGCTCCCCTGCACATGCGTGGCCGCTACCTGGTGGAGGTGGACCAGGCCTCCTTCCAGTGCTCTGCCCCCTTCATCATGGATGCACCTCGAGACCTCAATATCTCTGAGGGTCGAATGGCGGAACTTAAGTGTCGGACTCCCCCTATGTCCTCCGTGAAGTGGCTGCTGCCCAATGGAACAGTGCTCAGCCATGCCTCCCGCCACCCAAGGATCTCTGTCCTCAATGACGGCACCTTGAACTTTTCCCACGTGCTGCTCTCAGACACTGGGGTATATACATGCATGGTGACCAACGTGGCGGGTAACTCCAACGCCTCGGCCTACCTCAATGTGAGCACGGCCGAGCTCAACACCTCCAACTATAGCTTTTTCACCACTGTCACAGTGGAGACCACCGAGATCTCACCTGAGGATACAACGCGCAAGTACAAGCCTGTTCCTACTACATCTACAGGTTATCAGCCGGCATATACCACCTCTACCACGGTGCTCATTCAGACCACCCGTGTGCCCAAGCAGGTACCCGCAACAGACACCAATGATAAGATGCAGACCAGCCTGGATGAAGTCATGAAGACCACCAAGATCATCATTGGCTGCTTTGTGGCAGTGACTCTGCTAGCTGCCGCCATGTTGATTGTCTTCTATAAACTTCGGAAGCGGCACCAGCAGAGGAGTACAGTCACAGCCGCCCGGACAGTTGAGATTATCCAGGTGGATGAAGACATCCCAGCGGCGGCGTCTGCAGCAGCAACAGCAGCTCCATCCGGTGTATCAGGTGAGGGGGCAGTAGTGCTGCCCACAATTCATGACCATATTAACTACAACACCTACAAACCAGCACATGGGGCCCACTGGACAGAAAACAGCCTGGGGAACTCTCTGCACCCCACAGTTACCACAATCTCTGAACCTTATATAATACAGACCCATACCAAGGACAAGGTACAGGAAACTCAAATATGACTCCTCCTCCCCCCAAAAACTTATAAAATGCAATAGAATGCACACACACACACACACACACACACACAAGACAGCAACTTTTGTACAGAGTGGGGAGAGACTTTTTCTTGTATATGCTTATATATTAAATCTATGGGCTGGTAAAAGAAACAGATTATATTAAAATTTAAAAACAAAAAGTTAAAACAAAACTATTTTCTAACTTGTAAGTTCTATTTAAAGGGGGAGTGGGGTTCTTGGGAACGTTGTGGGGCAGAAGCCACAAGTCAACTTGCTATGATGCCAGAAGGGATTTCTGATCTAAGGTCGAAACTAAGATGAACTAAAACAACAAACATCCCTAAAGAGGCAGGGTGTGGGCTGCTGAAGGGTGCGGATGGGGTGGGGGGCAGATGGTCATTTTTTAGAAGATGCTTCATAGCATACAGGACTACCCATTTCTAGAGACACCTTTCTTAAGCTGAGAGCTGTCTTTGCAAATTTCTCTTATTTTAAAAATACAAAAAAAAAAAAAAAAAGAAAAAAAAAAAAAAGAAAGCACCAAGAATTTGTACTGTGCTAAGTGTTGCAAGGCAATAATTTTTTTTCATCAGAGGCCAAGGGGAAGATAGACTTGTAAATGTATTTTAAACAGGAAAACCACTAAACTTCAAGTGACTCCTTAAAGGGGCTCAGTCCTTCCGTCTGTCTGTGTGCACAAGTCTCCTTGGTTTGTGCACTGGGACACGCGTGCGACCCGCCTGACAGTGCACCTCAGGAGGGAGCAGAGAAGGAAGGGAGCTGGCGTAGCTCTCAAATGCTTTCCCACTGCACCAGATTCCTGCAGATGGGTTTAACCCACTCTCTGCAAGGCATGTGTCTATTCAGGGTTTCCCTTGAGGGAGGAGGCCCCTGAAGGGGGTGCGGCAGCAGAGGGGGGACAGGAAAAGAGAGCAGGAGTAGACAGAATGGATTCATAGGAAGCCAGAGATTAGCATTGTGCTATGTCCACCTGTTGTTCCTGGTATCTGACAAATGATTGTAGACAATGATGGCATTTTATGATTTTGCTTTTTATAAAGATTTTGTTTGTTTTAAGGTGGAGAAGGAAGAGAGGCTGGGATTGGGGAGCTTGGGGGAGTGGAAGCTTTTCTCATGCTTGTGATTTGGTGACTATTCTAAATGCTGATTCATTAGGGATTATTACAGCTGATGTCAACTGGTTGTGGCGGTGGGGTGGGGGCAAAACACGGGTGGAGAGAGTAAAAGGGCACAGGCTCATTTAAAGTACAATGAAGCCTTGACTCAACAGGATGGTTCACAAAAAAGATGTGAGATACACAGTTAAAACAAAAGTGATACACATGCACACAAGAAGTGAGTTCTGCAAGGAGTCCTGTTGAATGTAGTGGAATGGGGGGAAGGCTTCCCTCTTCCAGGCCTACCTCAGGAGGAGGTGGAGGAGAAAGGGAAGGGTGTGGGTGGTGAAGGCAGAGATCTCTGTTATTCTGGTCCATTTAATGCTGTAACTTCTTTCATTTATTATTTTAGCTTTAAAAAGAAATAAAGGGTTCAGATTTGAAAGGGGTGGGATGGGTGGGGTGGGGAATGCCAACAAAAGAACACTGATTGTAATGTGAGAAAAGTGTATTTTTGTATTTTAATAAATATTGTTCAATTTTTACTTCAATGTCCCTAAAGGGTTAAATTGAATAAGATCCTATAGGTTCTTACAAGCATCAACCAAGTCTTTTCTATTTAAAGATAAAAAGGGGAGGGGAGGGGAGAGGTAAAATCGGAGGGGAAGACAATGTGAAAAATGCTAAAGCTGTCAACAATCTTTCCTTAGCTTAAATAAAAGCACCCCAATTCTAGTGCACCTTCCATAAGCTAAGTGTGTTGGTACCTGGCTTTGTTGGGGCTAGAACCAAATTCCTGATGCCCTGGAAAAGCAGGGGAAATGGGTCAGCCTCAGATCTTGGGACCAGGCCAGAAGTTAAATGCCACCTCAGCAGAAGCTGCTGGTCAGGCAGCACCGGCTCTACTCAGGGACCCTAGGGGACCTGGATTTAAGAGGTCTGCAGCAATGCTGTTTGGCTTCAATTTCCCACAGGCACTGTTCCTTCTGTTCTCTGGGAGCCAAATAGCCAAACGCGTCTTGGTGGTGGTGGGTATCTGTCTCCTGATGCTTCCCCAGTGATAATGTCCAGGGATGCTGCATGAACTGGGACCCTGCGTCTCTTCAGCGCTTTTATACTACTGCAGGGAATCGGGACTGAGTGGGTGTGATCTCTCTGGCACTGAACAAGGAGAGAAAGGCAGGCAGCACTTTGCAGCAGCTGGCTAAGAAAGGGCCAATTCTTAATCCCCTGGGCATATACATGTCATTTCTGGGTATCAGTGTGTGTGGCAGCATGCACGCATGGTGCACAATTAGAAACTGCCACTCACATTTCTGGGCTCTGAATATATATTTCTCTCTGTCTCTCCTTTACCAGCCTACCCCCAATACGACAAGGAAACTGCAGCAGAGTAAAGGGTGGGACTTGGCCAGGACCAGCTGAAGAAAGGATGTGGGGCCAATTTGCTCACGCCTCTGCTTTTGTGACAGCTACTTGGATAGTTAGGGATTATACAGTCACTCTGGAATGAAGAAGTGTCTGTGGCTGTACCAGAGGTCTGAGGGGAGGGATATAGAAATGGTCTCAAAACATTCCTGGGGAAGAGTCCAAAGGACAAATGCATGTGTCCTGGGGGCTGAGCATGTTGCCATCTTGGGATCTGAGGGAGAAGTGCTTTCCAGAAGGAAGATGAAAGAAGGTGGGGGAGACTGAGAATATGGTTCCTGGGTGTAAGCGGCCTTAGAGCTGCAAGGGTAGTTTGCTCTCCCCACTGGGCTCACTCCTTGACCTGGGCAGTATTGCAGCTTGTAGAGTGGCAGGGCTCCACTGCCGTAATGTTGGGTATATCCTCCTTTGTAGCAGGCACCTGGGACAGCTTTTCAGAGAGGAGTCCCAGGAGCACCGAGAGTACAGCCTTTCATGCCGTGTTGGTGACTCATCCTCAGGCTTGGCGGCCAAGCTATAGGATTTGTTACTTAAGAATGGGACATGGGTTGGTAGCTCTTCAGGGGAGTAGCTGGAGCAACACATTAGAGGGAAAGACCACTGCTGATTATATGCAGTTAGAGAATTTTCATTAGAGAATTTTTTAAAGGACGTGAAAGATCATTTATTTAGTCTAGAGGTGGGACTGAAACCCAGATCTCCAGACTCTCAGGTCAATGTGCCTTCCTCACTCAGGCTCTTCTGGGCCTTCAAGAACCTAGTTCTTTCCTGGCCGATAATGCAGTGAAAATGGGACCTTCCTACAGATACTGCTGTGTTCTCTTCTTAGTGGTGCTCAAGCTCCTTCAGGACTGGCTCTGTTGTCCTCCCAGGACTGACCAGAGTTCTGACCACAGGGGTCCCACACAGCTGGCCCAAGAGCCATGTGTGCTCACTAAGGACTACACATAACAGCTTCTGATTCTGAGGTTCAATGGCAGACAGCTGCCAGAGAAAGGGTGACGTAGGTAAGCAGGTATTCACAAAGGGAAAGGTAGCTTGGCCTTCTCCCAGACCTCAGCCTTGGAAGCTTTGCAGAGTAGAGGAGTGGAGGAGGTCTTAAAGGACTGATCAGTTTAAGTTCTCCATAATGGAATGGTTTCTACTTATTTGGCTCAACAATGAGACTACTGGGGGAGGCTCCTTAACTCCTCTCCTCCACTAAACCTCCTTAACTCCTCTCCTCCACTAAACCTACCCCAGCCCAGTCCTTCAAGTGCCATGCTGTGGCTGCCATTCCCATAATCCCATAAAAGTGCCTTTTATCACTCTCTAGTGTTCTGCTGCATCTTTTTATCAAAGGAAGGAGAGTAGACAGGATACTTTCAAGGCCTAGAGACATTAGCTTTATCATGGCTGTTTAACATGTTGAGGCCAGCAACTTGCTGGGTGGAACAATGTATTAAAGAGTCCCTGGTAAGACAATTCCTGTTGTTGGTGGGGGAAGAGGTCCAGAATCCATGACCATTAATAGTAAAGAGCTCTGGCTTACTTCTGTGGAGATGGACATCAACTAGGAGAGGGCTGAGGGGGCCTTAGCCCAGACTACTACCTGAGAGGGCCAGAGCCCACAATTAAGGCCCCAACATTTTACTGCAACAAAGCAGCAGGGGATTAAAATTAGAGGAAAAGAAAAAGAGAGAGAGAGAGAGAGAAGAGAGAACATTTATATTCAAACATATGTCTGATTTTATCTCCTCTGCTGGCACTCAGCACTCCATGCCATCGGCTAATGCAGGCACTGTTCACGCCATTTCTAAATCCTGCCTCAGCTAAACTGCAAAGGCAGCTTTTGGCTCAAAAGCACCTCTCCTGGTCTCTATCATTCAGAAAATACCCTTTACACCTGAGGGGGTGAAAATGGTTTGGGCTGTAGATTAAGGTTGTTTTCATCTTTGTTTTAAATTAAAATGAAGTGGGACATCTGGGTGGTGGCTGCCTTTGGCTCAGGGCGTGATCTTGGAGTTCCGGGATGGAGTCCCGCATCGGGCTCCCTACCTATATGGAGCCTGCTTCTCCCTCGGCCCATGTCTCTCTCTCTCTTTCATGAGTAAATAAAACTTAAAAAAAAATTTATAAAAAAAAAATAAAAAAATAAATTAAAATGAAAAATTGTTTCTTGGAACAGGAATAAATGCTTCAGGAACCAGATCAGTGAAACATACATATTTACAAAGCAACACAGCACAGTGCTTTCAAGTACAGACTTTGGATCTGGTCTTTTTGGGTTGAATCTCAGCTCCATCGCTTACTACCTGTGTGACTTGGGACAAATACTCAGTTTATTCATATGTAAAATGGATATAGTAGTATCTGTACTGCACCACCTCATAGGTTGTTGTGAGAATTGAAATTATATAAATAAAATCACACCTAGAATGGTAACTGACATCATACAGTAATTCTGTATTGCTGATAGTTATTTGATGATAAACATAAGGATACAGACCAACTGACCAGCCTTCCTCAGTCACAGTCACTACCTCTATTCTAGAACCTCATCTGTGCCCAAAGAGAGAATATGCCTACTGAGCTGTTCCAGAGAGGAAGGATGCTTATCGAGAAGTCTGGGACAGTGGGACAGCACTATCTATATAAGCCCAGACCCAGTGAAAAAGAGGAGTTGTACTTTTGTCCCCAGGAAGGCAATGCCTTGTGCTCTGTTGCCTAATTCAACTCTCTAGCTGGCCCAAGGCACCATTTTTAGTCCAGGATCAGATTACCTTCCCCTGAGGTAAGCCAGAAGAAAGGAAAGGTGCTACTGTTGATATGATGCACAAGCTGAGGGCTGGGCCAGGAAACATTTATATTGGAAAGCTCGGTCCTTTACTGAGAGTACACAAACTTCCTACAGTCTTCTCCACCTCTCCTTGTTTCTCTGTCGGGGTGCCTTAAGAAGGGCGGGGGGAAGGGTGAGGCCCTAGGAAGGAGAAGGCAGCACAGAGAGGAGCTATCAGGGCCTTAAGACAGAATCAGAGGGCTTGGAGAAGATACAGGTGGAAGAAAAAGTACAATTTGAGCAAGTGAGAACAGAATGGAGCTACATGGCAGATGCACAGGCTAAGGGTCTGCAATGCAGTTAAGGAGGAAGCCAGGGAGATTCCTCTGTCCTAGCAAGCAAGAGGTTGGCTGGACCCTGGATGGGGGAGGACTGTTAGTATGAAATCCATGACATAGAACAGAAGTGAAGAAAAGCAGGGAGATCAACTTTCCAAGAGAAGCCTAAGAGAGAATGCATTTTGATTTCCTAATGAGTGGCTAGAATTAGATTTTAGGATGATCACAGGTTTTTATCCTCCAGAACATGCCAGCTCTGTCAGTACTTGGGGCAAATCAGCTACCCACAACAGTCCTGTTCTCTATCCCGCAGGCTGTCCACTGCTTGGGGGAAGCAACCCAGTCTTTAGGACTGTAATCTAATCCTGACCCTGACCAGCTCACTCAGAGGTCTGCTCTGAATCTGATCCTTCATTTCTATTAGGGCAAAGTCACAGGGGGACAGAAGAGGGTGGTGCAAGTCACTATTTATCCACAAAAGGAATATTACTCCAGAGGGAGGATATTATATAAATTGTGTTTTCCCATAAAAATGGTGATGACTTTCAGTGCACATGGATGCTGGCAGTAGGTCACAGAGATTAGGCTGAGGCCTGTAGGGGATATCCCTGGGAGAAGCTCTCTTTCAAACAGTGTTATCATTTGAGAGGATGGTGTCTTCCCTACCTTATCCCACTAAAACTTTTGACCCTCCAGCGGGAAGCACTGAGATGAAAGGCTGCTCTAATGCCAGGTGTAGGGATGAGATGGAGTGAAGTAGGATTTAGGTACTTTCATGGTCATTCTGTGCACCTACGAACAATACTAGATCAATTACTAAAGTTTTGATTACTATATACCAAAGGAACAGTCCTTGATCCACTTGTTTCTTTAATACCCATGCACCTCCTTATAACCCCATTAATAAGCAGCATCCTC